TGTTGATTTGAATGACGGCTCGACCTACCATTTCCTTGCTTTTCGGTTCTTTGAAATTCCATGGTTTTCGCTCTTCTATATTGTGCCTCACTTATAGGTAGGTCACTTAGCCTCCGGATATCCAGCTCGTTCAACGACTTGTCATCGTCAACTGGAGCCATCCAGGAAGTCAGTTAGACCTATTTCTCCTTGGCATCGACGTAGGCATCGACATCCGATGTCCGTGAGTCCTTGCGTTCGACGGCTTCTTCTGCTTCTTTCTTAGGCTCGCTCTGAGCGGAGTCAGCGCCATCGGCTGGATCGGCTGTCGCAGCAGACTCCTTGCCCTTGTGTGCGGGAATCTGGAACTGGGTGGGTTCTGTCTGACCTTCGATGATCGGGGCAATGGCCAGGATTTGTTTGGCAGCGAGCTCGGGGTTGTGCGAGTCGCTGGGGTATCGTTAGTCCTGTTATACTTCCGATGCCAAGGCAAAAACTTACACATGTGCATTGATGATCCAGTCTAGGTCCTCTTCTCCCTCATCGGGGCCGTTGGGCCCGCCCTGCACCCGTCGGAACAGCCGGGGGTGCCATTCGACGCCATCATCGGCACGCTTCGCTGCCTCTTCTCTTTGGCGGTCCTCAATCTTGGTCTTCTCATCCGTAGCTGCCTCGTGGTTCCTGGCAATGATCGCCTTCACGGTGGGTTGCCACAGTCGCTGCGACTCGCGCTCGCCCTGCTGTTCAATAGGTCTGGTCAAGGGAGGGGTGTGCTTCGCATGCGTAGCGTTGAATAGCAAGTCCTTCTTGTGGGTCTATTTGAGTTAGATTGACAGTCCTTTGTGTAAGAAGGAGAACTTACGTGAACATCCTTGATGTGCATCTCGCCGTTCCAGAGACCGGACAGTTCATAGTATACCTCGCCGGTCTTTTCGTTCTTAATTGTCCCACCGATAGCGTTGTAAGTACCAGAGAAGTAGCCCTTGGTCTTGAATTCGATGTCGGCAACGAGGTTGTTCTCTGGGCACCGCACGTAGCTGTGGTCGCCCAACTCGTATTTCATCTTTCCGAAAAGAATGCCGCGGGCGTACATATTCGGTTGCGTCAAGATGCTAGGCCAGATTAGAGCGGTCCTTATGCGCGGATGGCAGGTCCACCTACTATCGTTCGCCCTTCTCCTTGTCCTGTCCGTGGTTCAAGAACCGCAGGATCGCGATACCCTCCATCATACTAGCGGCCGAGTTTCCGAGGAATTTACTGCGGGGTTTCAAGGTACCATCTATCCGGATGTTGTGCTCGGGTGCCATGAAGAAATAGCTCGATTTGGGCGGGTGGTGAGAGGTCTGCTCGGCGATATAGTACCCACGGGTACCGTCGGGGTAGTCCCAGTAACAGGTAAAAGTCTCTCCGAGGATCGGATTCAGCGGCTTCTTTACTCCTCTGGGACGGGTGTCAGTAAGAAGACCGGAACGGGTTGGAATAAAACCATCTCAAGGGGAGCGACAACGTACGGAGGTTTGATGTGCCATCCGCTGAGATAGAACTTGACGACGGAAACGAATCGTTCTAAGGGGTCGTCTATGGTCGGCATAGGAAGCAGTGTTTCGGGGTGCGCCATGAAGCTGGATGCAGAGGAAATCAGTTAGCTACTGCTTCTTCACATGCGATGCAGATACTCCGACATACTTGGTGATGCGCTCCAGCATAGATCGGGGTTCGAGAATAAAAGTGGGCAGGACGACCCGACTCAGGTCAGCTCCCGGTCGGAGCTGCGAGATAATGTGGGAAAGAACTACAAACAGGTCAGTGGAAATGGGAAAAGACTAGGTATTTGCAATGGTATTTTCTTTTTGTTTTGCTTTTTTGGTGATATTGAGGGGGAAATAGCTACGTACCATTTCCCTGGTCGGGCTCGACGATCTCGTCGTCCCCGCTCACGGGCTCAGCTTTGGACTCATCGTGTGAACGATTACCTGAAACATGAAAAAAAGAGCCCCAGTCAGCAGACATGATGGTGGGCAGCAGAAATGCGCGAGATGGAAGAGAAGTGGTGAAAAGACAGCCGGTCGGAGGAGAGAAAGAGAGAGAGAGAGAGCCAAGGAGGGGAAGAGAGAGAAAAGGGCGGCGGAGGGGGATGTTGAGGCAGCCAGCAGCAGTAGCAGTAGAGTTGACTGAGGCAGCCAGACAGGAATGACGTGGGAGGAGCAGCAGCAGCAGCAGCAGCAACAGAAAAAAAAAAGAGGGGAGAGTCTCGACCGGATGACGGCAACAAACTTCACTCACTGGCAAGCGATGACCGTCGGCGGATGTGCGGGACGGAGATGGGCATGGCGTTCCGTGGTTCTGTTGTATTTTATTTGATCTAATGATTCTCTGCTGGTGATGGTGGTGGTGGTGGTGGTGGTAATTGTGGTTGATCTTGTACTTCTTGTTTTTCCCTTTTAACTTTGCTGGTGTGAGAAAGTCCAACACGGGGGGGATGGAGAGGAGACACCGATGCAACCGGACTGCGGCGTACAAAAGAGTGACTCGAATCTCGAGGGGTATTGGGCCGAAATTGAATTGTGGTGTCACTTGGGGTTCCCCAAACAATTAATTAAAGCAATGGATGTGGATAAATGGCAGAAGAGACAATCAGTCACTTCAAAGAATGCCTTTCAATGTCGGGATGGACGGACAGTGTCGGGATCAAGTTCCTGAAACCAACAATCAATTATGCAGAAAAAAATAGGAGGGAAAGCCGTAGTGTCGGGAAGTTCTCTCTATTAATAAATACTACTACTCTAACTCTAGGGGACACAATAGACGGTGAGTGTGAGGGAATCCGGATGGATGATTGCTACTGAAACTGGAGCTGAATGACGTTGATGGGAAACTGCCTTGATTTGGATTTTTCTTGAGGGCTTTTCTTTCCACAGTGGCTCTTTTCGCCTCCTATGTATAACTGTATATGTAATACTCTTTGTTGGTGACACGGCATCCTCCTGAAGGCTTATAAGTATATGATATCTACTCTTTTCTCGCCGGTTCTTATGCTACAAACCGCAACCACCTTCCAACTCCCGATCGCCGTCCAAAATTTCCAGTTGGACTCGCGATCAAGAGGGGCACACAGGCTTGGCAGTGGGGATGACGGATGACAGCCCATCGCTTTGCTTTACTTTTCTTTTTCTTTTCTTCTCATGTTTCAAGCATCAAGCAATACCGAAGATCACTTCCTTGGCCTCCTATAATGGTTGGTGATTATTATTACTTCCTTCAGATCCTAGTCTGGGGGACCCATCTACCCATCTCGTCTATCTCTATGCCGGATTAACCCTTAACCATCAACTAAATCAATCCATCTCTAGTATCTACTCATGCCGACTGTCGTTTCAGCGGAGCATCCCCTCCTGTGATCTCCCGTAGGAATTCCGCATCGGGATGGTGCAGCATGACATGGAAGTGCTCCACGGCATGCACTGACTTTAATGACTTCCAGTTCTTGAACCAGATGACCTACCCTTCGTATTAGTATCTTGAATAAAGCATCTCCCATCACCACCACCGCCGCCCCCCCTGGCGCATTCCTTCCAACATTCTAACCAATACATACCTGATCGGCTGGCATCCGTGAGAAAAACGTCCGTTGCACATACTCCTCAATCTCCTGTCGTGCGCGTGGCGTCAGGTCATCCGTGACCGGATCATCCTCCAGCTCGAACTTTGTCCACACCACCAAGTGAACAATGCCTTCCTCGACTCCATACGGCCAGTCATTGTAAAGAATGCGAATATCCTCTAACCATCACAACCATGCTTAGCACTCATCTCATCTCGCAGACAGCCCCAAGTCTCATTCAACCAAAAAGAAGGAGTACAATGAATACGAACCATCATATTCAAACGGCCGCCCCTTAGGCTTCAGATCATCCGCCGTCCCTTCTCCCCAACGAAGCCGTTCCTTCACGACAAACCGCATGACCGATCCATACTCTGCGACAATCTGCTCCTTGAACTCAAGATACCGTCTCAGATCGCTGGGAAGACGCTGAAACCGATCGATCTGGTTGGACCCTGTCCATCATCTATTAGCGGACCACTCACTCACGGACCACGTCCTTCCCCCCCTGACGCACGGTTTCATTCGGTCGGTGAAACATACGAACGATCTCCTTGACTAGTTCCCACCCCTGTCTCCGGTACTGCTCGTCAGGGGTCGAAAGCACCTCGATGTTTTTCTGCGACATGTCGCGTAGATAGCTGGGACATTCTGCTGTCCATTGCGAGCGGGGAACATTGACAAGCCAGTACGGTAAGGTCTTTGGAGCCAGGTTGGTTGTTGGACTGAGTATCTTGGTCGAGGCTTTCACATCCGGAGAGTGAATTCCCTCGTGAAAGGTTGTGTAGGTTGCAGCGGACGACATAGCGACGGTCTGACTCTATCGATAGACGAGCGGTGGCAGGAGGAAGAACGTCCGAGTCTATAAAGCGAACAGCATCTAATGTGTAAGGCAAGACAGCAGGTAAGACAAAACGAACCGGTGAAAAGGAAAGAAAGAAGCAAGAAAGAACAGAAAAAGCACCGACCGAATCGAGCTGTAAGAGCTGATACTATAATAAATGGTGACCGGTTCCGGATGCGGTGGCGATGAGTTAATTGATTATTGAAAGTATGGGGATGCCGCGACGCCCCGCTGCCCATTCCAGAAGGGATTGACGGTCATGTTATTAAGGAGAGGGGGGAAGGAGGATAGTAGCTAATTAAATCGAACGCGATGGAATAATATAAGCCAACGCGAGTATCGTCAGATGTCCCATTCATCGTAGCTATCTATCTACTCCCTTCTTACTTTTCTGCGTTCTGAGCAGCCGGTGATCTCTGGAAGCCGTTGCAAACGTCCGCCCCAACTCCACTGTGGAGACCTGTCAGATTGTTCTGCCAGGGTTGAACTTGTCGCTATCCACGGTCCTTTCTTATTCCTTGTCTCGTATAGCTACAGATGAAACATGTCTTAGTGTCACTATTATAGACTATGTATCTAGATCCACTAGATCATTAATAGTAGTTCTACTTGGCATATCTTGATCTATCTATAGCTCAGTCCTTACTCCATACAGAGTTGCCGTAGACGCTCACTCCCAAGTATACACCTGCACAAGCACACCAACATACATACAGTATGCACGTCAAGCATGCCACCCATCTCACAACCACCATCACATCCCATAGACACATATACATATAATCATCCAACTAACAACAACCCCTACACCACCCCACTCAACCCCCTAACCTCCGGCCCATCCGACCTAACAACCAGCACCCCGGCCTCCCTCAACTCCCTCTTCGCCTCCTCCCACCCCAACCCCGGATCAACACACCTAACCGCATCCTCAACAAGATAACTCCTCAGCCCAGCCCTCGCAGCATCAATCGCCGTGCACTTAACACAATAATCCCCCGCAACACCCACACAAAACACATCCGTAATGCCCTTTTCCTCCAACGCCCCCTTCAAATGCACATCCACCGACGACCGATTCACCTCCGCATCGAGATTCCCAAACGCATCCGCAAACGCCGAGTACATTTCCACCCGCGCATCCATGCCCTTTCGCACGTAGAGGTCGATGTTCTTGGTGTCGATTTCCGGGATGATTTCCGCACCCTTGGTGCCCTCTACGCAGTGGATGGGCCAGAGTCGTTGGGGCTTGGTTTCGGTTTCTTTGCCTGCTGCGGGATTGCTCATCTCGATAAAGTGCTCGAAGGGGAGGTTGTTCGGCGGGGGATGGTTCGGGGCGAAGGAGATGTGGTTTGGCGGGTGGCTGTCTTGGGATGCGATGCGCAGGGTGAAGCCTGGGTTGGAGAGGAGGGTGTTGATTGTTGGGGCGAGGGTGCGGGCTTCGTTGACGGCGAGGGAGCCGTTCTGGTTGAGGTTGTTAGTATAGAGCTGCTGTGTAGTTGAGGGTTGGGGATCGGGATGGGGATGGGGAGGGTACGGACCGGAGGGCAGAAGTCCTCTTGCATGTCGACAACGATCAAGGCTGCTTTCATCTTGGATGGTGTTTGTTAACTCTAACTTGATATTTGTCAGTTTTGAGCACCGTTTGAAATGCTAGGTCTGTCTTGTTCGATATGTATGCAGACAGGTAGGTAGTGTCGCTTTGAGGGAAGCGAGAGGGACTGTAGGCAGCTATTATCGTATCATACGGCCGGACTAGTTCTTAGACCCCGCTCGATGGTACGAAGTATTCATCTGGAAAGGATCATGTCGATAGTTACCATATTGGTACTCATCTCAAACAGCCTAGCAAACCTCAGAATGCACATTAAATCCAATTTAGTCCGTAAGAACAAAGCCAAGCCCGACTCTCAGTCAAGAGAAATGCCCAGCCTCCATCGCCATCCATGCTCAAGCTGTCCCAATCGGGCATAGTGAGCAGCACGCGTCTTAGTCAGCGCACATGACCACAAAAGGCGCGCGAAATCCGCCGACGCAAACTTCTTCACCTTGTCAACTCAGGGCTGCGGCCCTTCATCAACAACATCCATCCCACACCCAGTAGAACCAGCGTAAATGAATTGCAGATGATGCGAGGCTCTTCTAAGGTATGTATATGCAAGGCAAACATCTAGTCCAATCCCAATTCCTCCCTCCCCGCAGCATGATGAAATCTTTATATATTGGAGCTGTCTTAGCACATTATGCGGACAAACTTTTAATTACGCAACTTTTAACTGAATCCTGCACCCCCTTACACTATACTTCTTTGTCACTGCCATTGAATTTGTTTCTGCCGCGGATTCTAATTGTCAGTAGTCATTACAGGGCCCAACTAGTGAACAACACACCTTCCAGCCTCCTTGATATCCCCCCAACGATCACTTATCGAATTCATCATACCACCTAACCTAACCTACGGTCACACCAAACGCGGCTATAACACTCATCACCATGGCCTACGACCCCCGACTGTCCAGTGCAGGCACTGCGACCGCTCCCTCCCCTCCACCACCACCCCCACCACCGCCAGAAGCCATGGGAACAACAACACCAACAACCCAACCTCAACCCACCTCCACGCCGAACGAGGCCAACAACAATATGGTCGCAGAATCGGAGTCCTCATCATCCTCCTCATATAAACTCCGATTCTGCACCGTATGCGCCTCCAACCAAAACCGCTCCATGGAAGCCCACCTCCGGCTCTCCACAGCGTCGAGCCCCTTCCCTGTAATCTCCTTCGGGACGGGCTCTCTAGTCCGCCTGCCCGGACCCTCAATCACCCAACCCAACGTCTACAACTTCAACACAACCTCCTACTCCCAAATGTACGACGAGCTGCTCTCCAAAGACGAGCGTCTGTACCGCAACAACGGTCTCCTGAACATGCTCGAGCGCAACCGTAACCTGAAATGGGGCCCGGAGCGCTTCCAGGACTGGGTGCCGGGACAGCCGCGCGTCGAGCACGTCTCGAAGGGCGATAAGGGCGCCCTAGGTACTGAAGGTGGCGTCGTCGATGTAATCATCACCTGTGAAGAGCGGTGCTGGGATGCCGTGGTAGACGATCTCATGAATAAGGGGTCACCTTTGAACCGCCCCGTGCATGTCTTTAACGTGGATATCAAAGATAATCACGAAGAGGCGTTAGTAGGAGGCAAAGCTATCTTGGATCTAGCGAATCGGTTAAATGAGGCTGCTTCGCAGGAGAGAAAGACCAGTGGTGTCGATGGATGGGAGAATGGAGTCGGCGAGGCGAGACAGAATTTCGATGCTCGCGTGCCTGATATTCTTGCTGAGTGGCAGGAGAAATGGCCTCATTTGCCGGCTTTGTGGACGCTCGCTTGGCTATAGTCTGCTTAAGCTTACGACTTAAAGCATTGCGTATGCATTCAGTTGGCGTCGGCTTTGATATGATTGAATCCTAGATCTGTTAGATCTATATCAGATGCAGATAATGTTTCATCATCCTTAAGTAATTGAATACTATCGATGACCTTCATCCACTTGATATCTGTCCTCCTTTGTAATAACTGTTTCCTACACTCTGTAATCTACCTGCAGCTTCTAGTTGTAGATCATCGCCCCTTCTTCAAGTGATTGGGCAACAAGACATCCCGAAAGTAATAATTGGAGATAACCTTCGCCCCAGGAAGGTAGTAGTATCTTGAATATCTCCACTTACATCATTCAAATACAACCATATAACAATATCATGATACGTCCTGATGTTTCTTATTTTCTTTTTTCTAAAGACATTTCTAGCATATGTATTATACAGGACAATATCATACCACCATCACCACCACCCCCTCCTCCTCCCCTCTAGTACAGATGTATACTTTCTATAATGAGTAGCACACACCACCCCAAGATAAATGTAAACGACGCAATTATAGTGAATTTTAGACAAAGGAAGAAGAAAGAAAAAAAAAAAGACAACGCCATCATCCGGCCCCAATAGATTCCAGTTCCCCACCAACTCCAAAAACAAACCCGACGAAGAAAATGCGAGACAGACAACCCGAATTAAAGAGGAAGAGTGTGCATGAAGGAGGTGGGTATCAGAAAAGCTCCCCCCGCTGTCCAGCACCTCTCTCCAAATCTCTCCGTCGACTCGACTTCCCTAAACTACCACCGCCAGATCGTTCTTCGCGCTCCTCATCCATCATGGCCGTTTCTTCTTCGATTTCCTTCTCCGTGTCTTCGCGAAGACCGAGGATATCCGGAGGAATGAAGCTCATTTGCACGCTCGGAGCACCTTGGATATATCGAAGCTGTTCGCGGATGGATTGGAGCAAGCCGGCGAGGTAAGTGCGAGGGTTCTTGTTCTCGAGCTTGCGCATTTCCGAGAGGGGAGGGAAGAGGGAGAAGTCGGGGCCGAAGTGGTTGCGGAAGGTGACGGTTTCAGGGATGTGAGGGTCGATGGTATCCTGGGCGTCGATGAGGATGGAGGTTTCGTGGGCCCAGGCGCGGGAGACATTGCGCGGGGTGTAGCCGCCACCGCCGACGACGAGGAGTGGGAGGTTGAAGGTTTTGACGAAGGCGACGCAGGCGCCGTGGGCGGCGACGTTCAGGTTGAAGCAGCCGAGACGGTCGCAGCCGAGGGAGTCGGCACCGCATTGGAGGACGATGGCGCCGGGGCGGTAGACTTCGACGCAGGAGCCGACGACGTCGCGGAAGAGTTGGATGTAGGAGTCGTCGTCGATACCGTCGTGGAGGGGGACATTGACGGAGTGGTGGGCGCCCGGGTTGAGGGGATGGGTGGGCCCTGTGCTGTCGAGGCCACCGGTGCCGGGGAAGAAGTTATCCTTGTCGTATTTGTGGAAGGAGACGGTGAGGACGCGATCGGTGGACCAGAAGGCTTGTTCGACGCCGTCGCCGTGGTGGACGTCGATGTCGATGTACATGACGCGCGGGTGCAGGCGGAGGAGCTGCAAGATACCGAGGACGATGTCGTTGATGTAGCAGAAGCCGCTGGCTTCGGCCTTTTTGGCGTGATGTAGACCACCGGACCAGTTGACTGCGATCTCCGACTGGTTGTTGCAGAGCTTGCGGGCTGCGTCGATAGTGCCGCCGGCGTAGAGGGAGCAGTAATTGTAAAGGCCGTCGAAGATGGGGCAGTCGTCACCGAAGTTGAAGCGCGCGATGTTTTCGCTCTGTTCAGGGTTCTCCATGTCGCCGGGGACGACTTGTTTGAGGAAATCGAGGTAGTCTGATTTGTGGAAGTCGGCCAGCTCTTCGTAGGTGGCTGCGCGCGCCAGGTAGAGATCCATCGCATGGTGCATGCCGTAGGCCATGACCAGCTGCTTGGTGAGGGTCAGACGCCATGGCTTCATGGGATGGGACTGGCCGAAGTGGTGTGGTTCAACGGCGGGATTGGCGTGCCAGGAGACGCGATATCCATTGGGGCGAGAGATGCCATTTTGTTGGCGCTCGTGGGTGACTTTGCGGTCGACGGAGAAGGTGGGTGCGGAGGACGGAGGGGCGTATTCTTGGACAATGGCGGAGCGGGCCATGAGGATCGATATCGGAGGGCTGTGTGAGGAAATAGAGTCGAGGGGGACCGATCGGAGACGAAGAATAGGCGCGTCAGAGTTCAGATCATGCTGGCATGCGCGGAGGGCGGATGTGGAGGCGAAATGGACGTGGCGGGGAGAAGAAGAGCCGAAGAGAAACGGAGGTGCAGTTTGGAGTTCGAGTTCGCGGCAGAAAAACCCGACGATCACCTGCGCTGGTTGGCCGCGGATTGGAATACCTGCAGCCCGCAATATAAGCTCAGCACTACGGAGTACGGGAAATATAATATAGTAAGAGGGCTCGGAAGAATACTTTTAGCTATCTAGAAGGATAGCACCAATGGTAATAATTGATTATTCGCATACTATGTAGAATAGACGATTCAACGATCTGCAGCAAATTTGACAGAATCGGCTACTACCGAGTCATGCTCAAATCCCGAAAAATCCCCGAGGGGTTACGTAGCCTCCGCCGATGTCGGGTGGGCTCCCATGGCTTCACCCTTAAATTCTCCTTCCATCGCAGACTCGGAGGCAAAATAAGGCGTCTAGGTCACAGATAATTCAATACTTGCAGCGATTGCGGGAGGCGATAACTGTCAGCCCACGCCGGAGTTCAAATATATAAAGCCACCAGCACCATCCTCCCGACAGCAACAAGTCTCGGCGTCATCGGCACAATAGAACGTTGTCATTCTTGACCGACATTTCTTCTACAAACCGCCATCATGCCTATGGTAACTGGAGCTACCACCCTGCGACGGGCTCTGGAGAACCCTGACTCCTTCATCGTCGCCCCCGGAGTCTACGATGGACTGTCAGCTCGTGTCGCCCTTTCCGCGGGCTTCGACGCTCTGTACATGGTAAGTGGCAATTGTCACAATCTTTGAATGCTGGCCAACCGGCTCACCCCTCCTTACAGACCGGTGCTGGTACCGCTGCCTCGGTTCACGGTCAAGCAGACTTGGGCATCTGCACTCTCAATGACATGCGCGCCAACGCCGAAATGATCTCCAACATCTCCCCTAGCATTCCCGTAATTGCCGACGCAGATACCGGCTACGGCGGCCCCATTATGGTCGCACGCACGACCGAGCAATACTCGCGGTCTGGAGTCGCCGCCTTCCACCTCGAGGATCAGGTTCAGACGAAGCGCTGCGGACATCTTGCCGGCAAGATTCTTGTGGACACGGACACCTACGTGACGCGTATTCGGGCCGCAGTGCAGGCTCGCCAACGAATTGGCAGTGATATTGTGGTGATCGCCCGGACGGATTCCCTCCAGACCCACGGCTATGAGGAGAGCGTCGCAAGACTGCGGGCCGCGCGCGATGCAGGCGCGGATGTAGGATTCCTCGAGGGGATTACATCCAGGGAGATGGCCCGGCAAGTTATTCAGGACCTGGCGGGGTGGCCGTTGCTACTGAACATGGTGGAGCACGGGGCCACGCCGTCGATCTCAGCGGCCGAGGCCAAGGAGATGGGCTTCCGCATCATCATCTTCCCATTCGCGACATTGGGACCTGCCGTTGCGGCGATGCGCGAAGCGACGGAGAAGTTGAAGAGGGATGGCATCCCGGGGTTGGACAAGGAGATAACACCACAGATGGTCTTCCGTTTGTGTGGATTGGATGAGAGTATGAAGGTGGATGCGCAGGCGGGGGGTGCTGCTTTCGACGGAGGGGTAGACCTGAAGTAGTTTGATGATTTCTTTGCGCAGTACATCTTTTGGGGCCTACTTGAGGCTTAGAACATAATTGTATAGATGTAAATATGTTGCATTTGATTTGATCTCGGTGTGTAGTAAGACATGGAGGCTGTTCGTCTCGTGGATATAGCATAGCGATAAAATGAGAATGTACATAACTCAAAACCAATTGTGGCAACTGAATGGTGCTGACTGAGCACCAAATAAGGCAATCGTCTAACCCTAATTAGGTCGAGACACGGGTTTCGAAAGGAGGTGCTTAGTCACGCCGGATCATCGGGCCCCAAATTGAAGCTGACGAGTCGCTCTCCCCGACAGGAATAGTATCCGCTCCTCGTCTCGAACAGGGCAGCTGGCCTCTAATTTTAGAGGGCCCCCAAGCCGAAAAGGAGATTCTCAGCCCATCCAGGAAGTGGTCGGCTGATATTGAGGGCCGAACGTGGCTTACTGTTGGAAAGTCAGCAATTCCTGCCAACCGAGAAGGGGGTTCCGTCGGCATCCATGGGACAGAGACCCAGGGAAACACTATTTATTTACATGTGAATGAAGTAGTATAGATAGAGAGGTATAGAACAACGCTCTCCTATGAGTGCAAGAGCTAGTTCCCATAGAATCCAAGACAACGTTCGATAGTCCAGCCAGTTTTGGGTGGCCAGAACCTGGCAGGTCGCACCCCCTCGGTGGATTAAGCGACTATCGTTACCCAGACTTGCCGGTCACGGGCCAACAACAGGCAATGACAGTTGAGGTGGACTCGGACACGGGCTGAAGATTACCGAATTGTCGCTGTGCTAAACTCTAGTGGCCCGCTGGCCAGATGGCCCATGGGATGACCAGTGATTTCGATACAGACAGCAAAACTCGATTGTTGGTGTTGTTGTTTGGGGCTGCTGACCATGGCTGCGCAGGATGTTTGGAATTCCGGTTGCCGCCGTCCCTGGATTTTGGGGGTCCTGATCAGGGTCCGCGGCAGGGTCAAATTGGGGTTAAGCCGTGGCATTCAGGGTCACTTGGTGGGCAAAACAGCAGGACCCTTAGGGGTCCTGCAAGCCTTTTTTTACCTGAGGCTATACCAAAATTACCGTAACGATCCAAGGTGGATGCAGTGAGAGCAAAAAGTCACTGCCTGCCTTGCCTTTCCACCCTAACGCAGGCTCCAGTCTTACGGTGTGCAATCTCACGGTCTGGCCTGTATTCATCCACTGTCAGTCCATCGGATCAAATCACTGTCCAACGTGGGTCTTGACGTGGCGATGGGCTGGCTCGTTCCTGGGTAACCGGCAGCAAGGTCGGGATTCGACCAAGCAACAATGACTGGAGTTGAAGTGACTTGTTCATGGGTGAAATTAAATTGAACAGCAGAATATTGGTTTGAATGACGTATCAATAAGCAGTGCGATTTACTCTGTCGAATTCTTGCGATCGGGCAGCATTCCAACTGGATTCCATGCATCTAATCAAACCCCGCCCTATCGTGAGGCGTCCACTGATCGATCGTTAGGTGATGGGCACCACGGAATTCACTTCCTCTGAATTGCTGACATGTTGAGATTCTCATCATCATCACTGGTAACTCAAGAGACGGTGAAGACTTGTTGGAGTGTGTACCTGAACACGATGCAGCACAAAGTGCTGAGTGCATCTGTAAGGTACCAGGCACCGTACGGTATTGTACAACGGCAGGCGCGATCGGCGGGGGGGTTCCAGGGATTGCGAGTCTCGACCTACAAAGCATATCCTATCTACCATTGACTGTTGATGTTCTTCATTATACTAGCTGCTAAATGGGTATGCTAACTGTCGGGCCTTATCCGAACGTAGAATATAAGTGGGTGATTATTGTGTTTACTGGGTCAATAAATCGAGTTTCAACCATGCTATTTCGAGGTATCTATGCTGTACTCTGTATTTGCAGACGAAAGAAGGATTTGGGTTTAGACCCCCAGTGGGGGCCATCCCACCAATGACACACCATTTTGCAGCATCCGAACGGCAAGCTCAGGAACCAATGCTCGTCTTCAGCCAATCAGTCACCCCAAAGCCAAGTGACTCCCCTGATCGACCCCCTTTTAATTTAATGAAATTCAATTACAGGTCCGACTTGATACGAAGAGGACCGTTTGATGCGGGAAAAGTGAAAAAACCATGCAGAGTGAAAGAAAGGAACGATGGTAACGAACTGAATGGGAATCTCCCCTTCCACGATCTGGGCCTGGCTTTTCCATCTCCTCCCCCCTCTGGCTTTTCTTATTATTATCTCCTCTTTCCCCCGGCTCTCCCCTTCCTCTTCTTCTCTCTCCCTCTTTGCTCTGCAACTGCTTTGCTCTCCTTCTTGGGTACACATCTCACTCCTTTGTGTGTGTTTGTTTCAAGGCTGAGCGTCCCTATTGGTGTTGCTCGCGTCATTCATTACTCCCAATCTACTCACTCTCTTTCATCAATCGTGTACCCTGAAACCGGTTGCTTTGTTCCAATACAACACCCTGTGATACCCATTCAGTTCATTGTTCATCAAACCAACATCATGCAGCTCAAGAACTCCATGCTCCTGCTGGCCGCTCTGACGGCTGGCTCCGCTACTGCTCGCCTGCACGGCCATGATCGCCGTCACCATCACAACGACAAGCGTGACGTCGGCGATGTCGTCGTCGCTACTATCGACGGTCAAATAGTCTCCTGGATCAACGAATGGTCCGGTGTCGCCGCTACCACTGTCTCTGAGGCTGCCACTGCTCAGGTGACTGTCGAAGCTGCCGCTACTGCCTCCGTGGCCGGCTCCGTCATTGCTTCCGCCTCGGCGGTTCCTTCTGCTTCCAGCTCTTCCGGCGCAGCCACTGCTAGTGGATCCTGCTCGAGCTGGGCCGACACCCTCTCGTCCGGCGATTACTCTCGTGCCGGCTTTGGCAAGTCCACAGTCAGCAAGCGCACCACCGACGCCATCTACTACACCGGCAATGTCGGCAGCCCTTGGGGTAGCAACATCATCGAAGTCGACGCCTCGAACGCCTGCCAGTACAAGCACGTCGTCCGCATTGACGGCAGTGAGACCGACGACTGGACTGTCGTTTTCTGGAACAAGATCGGACCCGATGGAGGTCTGAACGGCTGGTACGGCAACTCTGCTCTGACCCTGACCATCAAGCCCGGTACCTCTCGCTACGTCGCCTTTGACGATGACTCCCAGGGTGGCTGGGGTGCTGCCAAGGGTGACAAGCTCCCCACCGACGAGTACGGCGGTTACTCCTGCACCTGGGGTGAATTCGACTTCGGTAACACTAGCAACGAGGGCTGGTCCGGCTGGGACGTGTCTGCTATCCAGGCCCAGAACGCCAACCAGGAGGTGCAGGGTATGAAGATCTGCGACCACCAGGGCACTGGATGCTCCAGTATCTCCAACGCGGCCAGCAGCGTCATCAACGCCTACACGGCTGCCCTTGCTGCTGCCGATGGCATCGGTGGTTCCCTGGCCTCCGGCCCCGTCCGTCTCCAGGTCACCATCGACTTCGAGTAGATGTGTCTTGTCATTAATTTGTTCAGATTTCTTTATTTCTTTTCAAATATTCCCTTCGGTGAACTTGGCTTGGGGTTAGGGTGTTTTTGTGTGTGTGCAGGCCTGCACCGGGTCCTTCGGGGTCTGACCCTCGCAGCTGGAAGTGAGAGTTACATTGCACGTCCGACCCTTGCCGTGCTGTTAGGATCTGCTTGCTTGATACGTTCGATTGTACATACATCCATATACCACCGTGATTATTGAGTTATGAGTAACCTTATACTCTAAGTTTTCAATCCTTTAATCATATATCTTTACATAAATGACCATATGACTAGTATCTTACCCTCGATCTAACCTTATAAAGTGTCCTAAGTTCTGCATATTCTCTTAACCGATATTTAACAGGTAAGCTGCATCTGGCTATACAATCACCATCTCTTATCTGTACATATTTCCCCGTGCCTATCTAGTATCTCGGACCCGGCTTGCAATCAGATAGAAACATGACAATAACCAAAACAGATGAGTCCACCGCACAGCTAACGAGCATACTCTAAACATGAGATGTAATAACTACCTAGTATCTAGTTATATCCAATCTATTAAGTAGTTATACTCGCTCATCGGCTCAAAAATCCATTCTTCTAGGCCGATGGGCATTTCCATTCCCTTTCTCTTCATGTATAGAATTAAACCGTGCTAAAGCTGCATTATAACACTCCACGATTGGATATAGAAGACTCCCGGGGCATTCTGCGATAGGAGCTGGAGTAGCTATTGCTTACTTTAACCAAGTGATTATACAACCCAACTAACTATTTGAAATGATCTGACTACCCAAATAAAATCATTGCAACATCTGGGAGGTTATTGCCCAATTTATCAGGTATAACGCGGGTAAGCTTAACTTCAATGTATGGTGTTGAGATCGCTGGTTGGTTACTTACTTACTCTATTCTAACGTCCATATAGTATGTATGTCCTGGAGGCCTAGCATAAGAATAGTATTAGGACTGATACGCTTTGGAAGGCTGTTCCCGTTGAGTCAATTCTTACTATATAATTTTCATATACGAATCAAGCTCCCACAGGAAAGATGGCATGGACTCCACGTCTACCAGCTTGTCATAGTTGAGGCATAACATGTGCAGAGTTGGTCAATATAACATATAACCGGTATTTCAACCCAAGGAACAAAAAGATGACACAGATATGCTGCATGTGTTGAGCATCGCAGCAGGGGATTGGATTTTTACTATGCTCGGCACAGCATTTGAGTCTGTTGGAGGTCTCAAGCCGATCAAATTGCGAGAGGAATATAAGTATAATCAAGGATAAAGGATCCGGACAATTCCCTTCGCGCAACTCACTCTGGGTATAGAGGTAAGCTGCGAAATCAAAGCATTTCTGGTCATTGGAGCAGACCTTCATCACATTATCAGTGAAGTTGTTGTTCCCGGCGTTCAGTAGTCGATGCACATCGAGCTGTGGGATGATATATTGGTCCTCCGGGTATTCGAAGATTCGATAGGAGTTGACACTTAATGAGGATGAAGATATGATGGTCAAGAGGAGAAGTGGGATTGATGCCGAGGGTTTCATTTCGGCGGATGAGTGCCTGTCGAGGAGGAAGTAGGATGTTTGTATAGCTTGGTTGACATTGCAAGTTAGTTGATGGAATGACTGGAGATGGTTATGGTGCTTGCCTGTCTCTTATCAATATGAGAATTGTAGAGTTGCTTTCCTTTTACCCTGCACCTGTGACTGGACCATACCACTTAAGACGATGGTAGATTCAAAATTCACAAAATACCCGGCTTGTATACAAAGGGTTGATATAATTTCTCAGGGAGGAAACAATGAAATGCAATCATCGAATTGCTGTAGGGATACTGTACCCCTCACCTACCCACTAGCCAAGACGTTTAGGCCATAGATTCCATGCCAGAGGGAATCTAAGCCTGTCAGTGTCTCACCTGCGTAGTATCGCATTACACACTAAAGCACTTAGCACCCATTTTGCGAAGCGCCAGTTAGGGCTCACATGAGGCAGGCCCTGGGAGGCCTGCGCGTGCGAACCTACCTTCAAGTTCACCATCCAAATACCACATGGTCAATGAACCCCATCTGACAAGTGGCGCGCGGGTATGCACCCTGCTCGCACCCGGAACATATTCCCTGTAAGGCTGGAGGCCCGAGCAAGCGCTAGTTAAATACTCGAGATATTTGGATAACAGGGACCCCACAGGCATTCTTCTCTCATCTCTTAAGAGCCAGTCCCTCCCAATCTCCTCTATCACGCCTCTCCATAACAATGATTTCCCCAGCAGAAACCATCACCTACCTCCTTAGCGGGGTGGTCGTCTCGAAATATATACCTCATAATAATGCACCTCACCCCGATCCCTCAAATAGTCCGCTGCCTTTCCCTTTGGCCAGGCGTATGTCCTAGTTCTCCAGGCGATAGTCGCGGCTTGTATTGTCCGGATGCAATGCGTCATCCTGAATCAGCCATTCTAGCTCCGATCGAGGAAGATCAAAGCCCTTCTCTTTCTCTATGCTATCTTTCCCGATGCCGATATTTGTGGTATGGGTAGATAATAACGTGCTTCCGAAGGCGTGTGGGTGTCGGTGTTGGAGTTGATAGTCTGGCATATACCGGCTGAGGTCTCTAGGTCCTGTTGGTTGGGACAGTGGGTGAGATGGATAAGTCTTATACTAGGCGGCTTTTTTCGCATGTTCTGCTTTGTACCAGGAGGCTCTCAGTTTGTATTGGCGCTGTCCAATGTTGGGTATGGATGTACCCAAAAAAAGAACTATTCATTTCAGTACCTCCACACACTTGTTGGGGGTCCCTTTCCAGCCAACAGACACAGTACTCCTGTCTCGGTAATAAAAAAAAAAAAAAAAAAAAGCGCTCCGCATACACATGCCTCGCTGGAGACGGGCCGGGCTGAGAATCATACCATGGGTAGGAGGTAGGAAGTAGGAGATAGATCCCAAGGTTGCCCGCAATACTGCTTTGTATAAAGGACTAATGCTAAGTGTCCAGTCCAGACCATTCAACCAGTCAAAAAGAAAGGGATATACTTCGAATCTTACGTTATTTGGAGATTACTCTGCCCTATCTTTCTCTCCTTTGTTTCATTCAGAGCATCCTGTTTTACTATATAACCTCTATCCTGGAATCTATGTACACTACCAGGCGTGTCAGTCTTACTCTCTTATTTCTTTGACTGGGTTAGATTCGAACAAACTTCATATTTAAAATTTTATTCTGTCTTAACACTATTAATCTTATGGTGGATTTCAAGGTTAGTAGCACAAGTAAGGTAACTGAAGGGCTAAGAACACATTTGAAGGTATGTAATACGCAGTTGTACTTCCTTTATGGGTTGTTTAAGGGACTTCAAATTATGGTCTTGTAATTGATTGTCCTCTTAACTATGACATGTGCATTTTGTCGATTCTTAATATCTACAAGCAAGGCAGAAGGACTATGGGTACTGTTCGTGAGTATAAGGTCAAGCAAGAGGGGATCATATGTTGGTACCATATATGAATCTAGGTAGGAAATCTAAATCAATATATGAATGACATGCTCCGCTGGGAACGTCGAGATCTGAAGATTCAAAAGAAACTGGTTGGCTACTCTTACACCACCGTGGAGGGAAATACTTAATAAACAATCTATCTAATATACACTATAGATCAAGATCACGCAGAACCTTCATCGCGTCCATTTCAAGATCTAATTCCTCCTCCTTTTTCCCTTCCCTTTCACCTTTCTCGTCATCTACCACTTCGAAATCTCCCTCCTCGTGTACAGGCTGAACAGCCTGTGTCCAACTCTTCCGAATTGACGGTTGGAACGTAAGATACCCAACAAACGCCGCAACACTCACAACCGCATACCCAACCGACAACCACACATCCTTCGACTGTGCGGCGGCAAAGGCCGACATCGTCCTACGCTCAATCCCACTCAGCTCCCCGTTGTCATCGATCGCTTCCTTCATTCGGTTATTCAAGCGGATATCCTTCCAGATGGGCGTCGCATCCGCAAGGGTATTGTAAAGGGTGCTTCCAATCGTAACCAACCGGGCCCGTTGCGGTGCCTGCCATGGCAGAATCGATGATCGTGATCTCTTAGTATCATCCAAAGGAAGAGCATGTTCAAGCTCGACAACACCGAAGATCTCCTTCACCATTCGCTCCGTATACGCCGTCACCTGGGGTGCCTTGCTGCGCATCGCATCCTTCAGCCAGGAGTTAGGCAGCTCCGGCACAAGCGCCAGACTCAAGTATCCCAGCGCCAGACAGTCCAGGCTTGTAGGGCCGTCCTCGCGAGTGTGCAGAAAGTATCCCTTCCCGTTGAGGATTTCCTCGAGCGGCTCGAACAGTTCCGCGGTCAACGCCTCCAGCTTGAACTGGTTCTGCTGCGCCGTCTTGCCGATTAGGGATGAAACGGTGTCGCGCGGCTGAGGAATGAGGTTCTTGGGGATCTGGCCTGCTGCAACGGCGGCGGAATGGTCACGTTTCCGTTGGTCTTCGATGGCTTGTATGTCCAGGGAGGAGAGGCCGAGATGTTCGGTGCGGGTTTTGGCGGCGCTGTGAAGTTTCGGGGGGAGGATCCATTGGTTGGGCCATTGGAGGATGGCGCCGTAGGAGGGAGAGGTGCAGTTGTAGTAGTTTTGACTGGTGACGTAGAGGGAGAGGTCGAGGAGGGATTGAGCGCGGGATTCAAGGAAGGCGGAGAAGCTGTTGATGATCAGTTAGAACTATCTCTTCTCTCCTGATCGATTATAATATCAAAGTCCTGGGACATGGGAAAGCATACGCAATGTTATCTGCTTTTTCGAGTCCATCGAGACCCTGATCCAGGTCCCAGTCGCCGTTGGAATACTGACGGAGGTAGTCGACGATATTGCGGAACCTGCTCACCCATGTTGAGCCATTTTTGAGGGCAGGGAGTTCGCCTATGAATTTTTATTACATTAGTCAAATGCGCCATTAATCCCACAAGTGTAGAGCAGGGGCCCTCCAGAAACTAGCATTCGGAGAATAAACCACTCAGATAAACATACAAGTCGGCGACACGGAAGGATCACTGCTTGCGACGAGCACCCAGGCGTCCTTGGGCACGGTCAGGGACAGATACGTAATAGCGGCGAGACATTGCGCATCAATAGACGGCAATGAAAACGCCGGACCCCAAATATGAAGTTCCAGAACCATCTTTTCCGGTCGTTGCGGCGATGGCCAGACAGATGGAGGTTGCGTTGTTGGACCGGTGCTATCACGTGGAGATTCCGTCGCCGGGCGGCGAGACTGGTCGCCTGAGGCTGACAGGCAACCATTCCAGCATCAACTACTCCGTATCTTTCGGAGTATCTACTTGCTACGGAGTATACACGATATAGAGCGGGGAAGAAAGAAGCATGATGTGGATCGATCCCACATATGCCAGGACGTAGATATCACTCTACCTGATCTAGTAAGTGGTTGGTGCGACTGGCCAGTGCAACAGATACAGTACAAGCAGCAAAGTAGGGGTCATCGGGTATGTTGAGATGGCATTGAGTAAATTAATTCCATGGCGTTTTGGTTTCACTTGGTGTCATCAACTCCTCCTTTTAGGCGGGGGAATCAGTCTACTAATCGGTCCAAGTATGAGTGATTTTCTTCGCATCCGCGTCCCGATCGTAATTGATGATAGGAGAAGGGCTTGGGAGTTTGAAGCTAGGGAAGTAGTCAGATAACTAACTAGCTAGCTAGTTGGTAGCTATTCAGCCAAGTAAACTGACTGACAGGTGTATATGCGACACTCAAGCCACACCTACTTACGCCGTTACTACTAGTAGTAGTCAACGACTGATTTAGTAGTTAGTGGTGAAGTAGTATCTACCGGCTCCCGCAGAATTAATCAAAAGATGTCTGCAGAAGTTGAGTGACACCCACTTAGCGCCATAACTACAACAAGAAAGTAAGATTAAATTTTACCACATCCATATCTGCCATCCAATCCAGCACATGGCATGACATGCTCAGTTCCGGGATTTGACATCGGGCTAATGAACTAACGCTCAGTCCCTGCTTACATTACGGGTTAATGGTGAGCAAAATAAATTAAAATAACTAAATAGTAAGAACGGGCTCCAGGTACATCCGCGGTCAGTTGACCTGCGATCGGACATTCGTGCTAGACCCATCTAAGGTTCAGAGAACGTGGAAGACAATAACAGAAACAGGGCAGGATTATGGAGCTTAGGTCGTACCTCTACCCTCCACCCCGCCACGTATACCCGTTATATCGAAAAGCGGGCAATCAAGGCACGGGTTTCTTGGTCCTACTAGGCAGACACACACGCAGGTGGGCCGGTCCTTGAACTGGATGAGGTATGTAGATAATAGTAGCTCATACATACTCACAGTAATCTACCTATAGAGAGAGGGAATAAATGATCAGCTTATCATTGATCTGCATTCTGTTTATCGTCAGGCTACCCGCATCCATTTATCCGTTCATCCAAGGCATGCGCTTGGCTTCCTACATATGCAATGCAGGTGGCATGTGGTTTGCTTGGCGGTTACGAGATTAGATTCCTTATGTTGGGTGGGAGGGTGAGGAGGAGGAAGAGGGGTCCTTAGAACCGGTCTTTGGCACACAAACAATCCAACCAGTTACCACTTATTGGCATAGATAGATAGTCAAGTCGGTTCCTGTTTAGTAGTACTAAGTCGTGCGGTAGAGCCCGTCGTATCAGGTGCGCCACCCGGGCCGCGCAGGCCAGGGTGCGTACCTCGCAGAAACTATTGCATCAAGTAAGAAAAAAAGCAATATTGCAGTACAACTGATAAGGAACTGCGGTAGAGGCGGAAGAATTGTGTTTCTTTCCTTTCTTTTTTTTTTTTTTCCCTCGCTTGGATCACCGTATGATCGAGTCATAATCTTGTCAAATGCCGCTGTCTGATTACTCAATTCAGTGCGGTACATGCGCCCAAAGAGGGACTGGGTGTGACACTAAACGTGAATGGAGGTTCTCCGTACTACAAGAGGGGGAGGGGGGATGGCAGCGCTATTGATTCAGAATCCCTGCTGGGCTGGGCTGTTGTTACTCCGCTGCTGTCTGTGTGTGCTTCCTGTCGATCTTCTTTAGGGAGGGGGAGTTCCCCGCGGTCACACAGGTTACTCAAGCAATGCACCATGCAATGCTGCAATGCAGTTATCATGAGATGCTTACAGTACTACAGTATGCGTTGTTTAAGATTGCAAGATAGGAAGTGAATGGTCAAAGAATTTGATAGTCTCATTAGCAATGTCAAAGCGCAGCCAAGAATGCGAAATGCCGCTGGGTATATTAAGTCTATTATACATGCCGTCGATTTCAGATAAAGCTCAAATCCCAAATGTGGATGATAACAATCAAGATGGTACACAGGACTGGAAAAGGAAATAAAAACGATTAAGTAATTGTTGAACCCCATGTGCGAATGGAATCCAAGGTTTCCGAACAACGCATTGACATCGGTGGGGATCGTGCGATCCATGCTGCAATTGGGTTGGTTGATGAGCAATACCCGAACTTGCACATGAAACTCGTATGCTCGCGAGTCTTGTCGTCATCACTTGGTGTTGCAGGGTCCGGTTGCTGACAAGGCTGGTTGGAGATAAATGGCCCGAGAGTGGGGAACCAATAGCGAGTCACAGCATCATGGTCCCTCTTGTCGAATCGGGCCCCCCCTGCAGTGCGATAGGATCTGCCGATCACTCGACAGCCGCGTGAGATGATGCAGTGCAATGATTCGATGTCGCAATGTCAAAACGTCATTGTAGATTGGGAGCAGAGAGCGCCTGCGCGTGGTCCCGGAGAATAGTATGGAGAATTAAAGACCGGCCCAGGAGAGGCTTCCGTGTGGCGGTGGTAGTCGAAAAGTCCGAAAGATGGCGAATCGAAGATTGTTGAGGAATGCGAATAAAAGGTATATGTGGAAAGGAGCAAAGCCATAGTGTAATGTCCCAAAAACGAAATCGTGATAACCATATGCCGAAAGGTGCAACTCCCATGTCATGAGAGACTCGAACCGGCCCACATTGTCACTGTTCCTGGCGGAGTTGTTGGGAAGAGCTGTGGTTGAACCGGCTGAGTCTGTCGGTCGTCAAGTTCATATCAAGTGAATTGCCCGTTGTTTTTACTTGGGGAGCGGAGGAAGAGGACCCTTTGGCGGGGGACCAGGGCAAGGAGGGAACTGAGAGGTAGAGCCACCGATGGAAGGCATGATGATGTAGTTGTGGATGATGGTAATGGGTGGTGTAGAAGAGGGTGGTGTGCGTGGTGATGGTAGTAGTGGTGTGAAGGAAGTAGTAGTAATAGTAGTGTGGTGGTTGATGTAGTGTAGTGTAGCACGCGATTTGTTTGAGAGGATTGAAGTTGAATGAAACCAAGAGGATTGAAAGAGACGAGGTCAGATGGGCGTCTAATATATACTTGAGAGCTTCCCTCAATTTTCTGTGCCCTTATTTTTATTTTGATTTTTGAAGAAAAGACCAACCGGGGTGATTGGCGCTGAACCAGAAGTAGAATAATAATAATGAAAAATAATAATGGGGACAGAATAATCAGAAGGAAAAAGAAAAAATTGAAATTAAATCATAAATTATAAAATCATAATTATTTTTTTTCCTCTTCCCTTTCCCCTGTCGGGAAACAGCTGAGCTCCACCGGCCGGACAGGAGGAAACGAACTACGTCAGAATCTGACCGCGTCCTTACACTAGTGCGGTACGGGTGGGCTGCCAGATGGATTCTCGATGGATGCCTTTGCTGCTGAGGCCCCAATGGGAAATCCCAGGGAAATTTTCTAGAAGCTCCTGTTGTCCCACTCCGGCCGGGGACTGGCCTTCACCGCTGAGACTTTTTGCCTCCCCCTTTTTTTTTTCTTGGGTTCCGCAGGTCTAATTAACATGCGCATTATCGGAGCTTATTTGATGGGGTGTGGACTGATGGTGGTGCTAGGTGGGCGTCTCAATCAGAAACAAAGGTTGTCTGTAAGGGCGATAAAATGTCACAGCCGAACAAATGGACGGGAAGAAAATGGGAGGGGAAAAAAAAAGTTAGTCTACTAAGTTAGCAGTGAAGGAGAAACAGGATCGAAGGAAAGAAGAAGAAGAACAAGAACAAACGAAAGACACAAAGCGAAAAATGGGAGGGAATAAGTGAACAAGAAATTGAACAAGGCAAGCAAACATTCCTGACCCACTCCAGCGTTTATCGTTCTCTGTCTCTCGCGCTCGCTCTCTCTATCTTGATGTCTCTACGGAGTCGTCTCTACACACCCCGTTCTGGCGGCTTCTTTTCTCACCATTCCCGATTTTGCTTTCTGGGCAAGACAGTCCATCTTTTTCCAGCAAAGAAAAGAAAACGGAAAATCCTCTGGGCGAGACGCCGTCCATGTGACTACGACTGTAGCTAAACGCTAGTGCCATTTCGCTTGGTTACGTAAATTACCATGGGGGAGGACGAGGACACTGACGAAGAAGCAGCAGCAGGAGGCATGAGTTAACCACTTTGTAATGGTGAGTGAGTTAACATTGCTATCTATGACTCAACCGAAGGGATCAATGCCACCGTTAGAGGATGCGCTTACTCCGCATCCCGACCAGGATGGTGTCCAGGCAACCTCATCCCTGAGTATGTGCAGCTGCGTTTGATAGGCTTACGAGCTTTGGGGGCTAGTCCAGCCATGTCTACACGTGCCGGTTCGTAGATCCTTTGAGGGGGGAAAGAGAGCTAAGAGCGTGAGAAGAGCACCAGAGGGGACAAGGTCTAGCAAGTTCGATAAGGAACCCTCCAGGATGATCCGAAGTCAAATGCGCGGCTGTTGCGCTGCCCGTCTGAAACTCGGATGCGTGTGATTTGATTCCTCACGACCACCACACAGACACACTCCTCCTGTATGTACTTACTTCCTTCCCACCCCCCCAAAAGAGGGAAGATCCTAGCTCCAGCCAGATTGTCGGGACCTGCGGGCCTATCCTCTTCCTGTATCCATCCAGTCCAAGCCACCACACATCCCGTAGTTCTCAAGCCCAAGTGACGCCTGCATCCTTCAGCCTTCCCGTTTCAGCCGTGAGTTGGTCCTTTTTCGCGAGCATGGATAGCTGAGAGTGGTGAGACAGGCAGTAAACAGCTGAGGAGCCATGATCCATGATTGGGATTGGAAGAAACATTCTTCTCTTTCCTTCCCTTACAGCCTTGTTCAGGGGGAAGGAGGGAGGGCAGTAGTGATCCGATCATAACGAAAGAATGACAGGTCGTTTCATCTGTACAGGGCGGCAAGTTTGTCGCAGCCAACGGGGTAGCCGCAACCTAAAGATACTACACACCCACACAGACACAGACTGAGAAGAGAAGAGCTTTGATGGCGTGTCCTCAGGCCGCCGCCGGAGCGATGTTTCAGGGGTTGATCATCATTGCTCTCACCCACAATTGGATCGCATCTTCGGGGTTTACGTCCGCCAACGAAACCCCCGTTTCTCCTTGCAGGAAAGTCAGGAAAAGGTAAAGTACCTGCGTTCGTATTGTCCGAGCTCTCAGACTTTTGGGTGCTGCCCTGAACGGTTTGAGTTCAAGGAGCTGTCTGTCATCCATCCATCCATCCATCCTCTTCCCAAGGAACGGGAGCCTCGGGAAGCGATTGGAATCTGCTAATTCCGGGCTCTTCCATTTGACGAACATCTCGGCTGACAACCATCCATTCCATCCATTGTGGCTGATGTCCCTTGCCTAGTCTTGGCTGTTAGGTTCCGGTTTGCTATTGTTGCTTGCTGTAAGGCTTGCCCTCCTATCATCCTTGATCAATAACTATTAGACTTCACAATTTCATAATCACTTATTACTTATTACTTATTGCACATATCCTATAACTCCGTACATGTACCATACACCCAATTCATGGTCACTGACTGGCTCGCCATCTTCCCGTCCGTCCCTGCAGCTTGAGAGAACTAATTGAAACTAATCTTCCACGCCAGGCTGACTTGGGGGTGTACTCCCTTATGCAATGCAACGCTCATCAGGTCCAATCCGGTTTGACTTGATTTGATTCTGAATGAGTTCATTAATTGAACCAGTAGACATCCACCAATCTCACCCCCTTGGGCCCAATGGAGCCCTGGCGTGCAACCGGACTAGCACCACCCGCTTCATGAGTAAGTATCTAATGAGGATGCGCGGCGTCACGCCGGGATCATCTGCAGATAGGACGTGGCCCGGGATGCGAAGGACACGGTAAACAGGAAGGGAGAAACGATGATCCTGCACGTCAATCGATTGCTGCATCGACTCATCGGTCGATCCATCGAGATGCGGGTTGCGTTCTCGCGTCGATGATTTGACCCGGTCGCTGGTCTCTCCGCCGACAATTTTCGTTACCCACGGCCGCTAGAGAGATAGGCCGGCGCCTAACAGGATACTAAGTTACTAACAACCCCGGCCTGCATCAAGTCGTCCTCAACGATTGACTTCTTTGGCGTAGTGTGCAGCCGTTAGCGCCGCTGCATGCATGACCACTGACTGAGACTTGAGAACGGACAAGGCAGGTTTTTTTGCCAGTCCTAGCAGTAGCATCGTGAGCTACGGCGTCCTACTGTATCTACTAATTTTATCCGGTTGGTGGTGATGGCCGCCTGACGCAAAAGAGAATCCCGCGCGCTTCCGGTGGATGAATGGTTCATTTCCCCTTTCCTTATTACATAGTAGGTATAGATTCCCTGAACGATCCGGATCAGTCATATCACCGTCTTTGCCACATCCTGATTTCCCGTCGGGTCACATGGCTCTTATCCATTTGGGACGATGGGGACAGAGAGGGCCAAAAGAAAAACACATGGCAAGAAGGAGAAGGATGTTGACAGAGTGGGTCCCAGTTCCAAGAGAACGAAATGAGATCCCCACTGTTGGGGGTGTTCATTCCGCGCCGTTGGTGTGGTGAAAACTGGATCGCAGCCATCAATGGCCGGTCTCAGTGCGGAGGCAGGGTGATGATTCACGCCAATTTCGTCAAACTCCTCGGCAAACTCCCACTGCAGTCCTGGACAGATTGCTATAATAGTGCACAAAGTGGAGAATGGGTACACATGATACACCACACTCATTGAGCCTTTGTCATACTTACGCGCCTTTCTCTCTCTCTCTCTTGTTCTCCCCAACTAATGTTGTCGTATATCCCGGACAGTCTCCCGCCTCAAGTTTTGGTTCCCCTGCGGGTTAGTGGATTGGATGTAACGCAGCAGTTGCATTAATGCAGGTACTATGCATCTCACTGCATCCTCGACTATCACAATCACCGTGACGCCTCCCAGTCTGCAATATTCAATAGTCCGACTGCAGGAGGGGGTTGCCCACGCCGATGTAGGCAAGATCGGAATTTCCCAGGCAGGACTCCGTGCGGCGTACATATCTAGTGAAGATCAACATCAGGGAATTTCTCCGCTCTGTAGAATGGTACTGAGTCTTCCAGAAACCGTCGCAATCCATGGTTCACCGCTCCTCTTGTCGCACAGTGCTCGTCCACTGTCCGTCCCACCCAGGTTGCGGTTCAAAACTCTCAACAATCGCTCCCGCTTTGTCGCTAATTCGGGACTAAAAGGCCACTAATTATGATACGAACTTGCTACTTTGTTCTAGT